ATACCCGCAGCAGGAGGTTGGGGAGATGTTATTCAGCTGGTATTTATAGACGGAAGGAAAGCGGCTTTGATAGGACGTCTCTTGAACGTCCTCCAAGACGGGATGTACTCGTGTCCTCAGCCTCTTGCCACATCCCCTTTTCATCTCTTTTTATTCTCCGGCGAACAATATGTGGACCTGCCGAGAGTCTGTGCGCAGAGATCTGATGCTCCGTTAAACTGTCAAGAGCCACAAAAATCCCATTGAACTCATTTATAAAAGTCTTTACAGGTCATCCAAGGCCCGATCCCGTCATCAGACATCCAGGGAGTGGAAAGCCGATATTCGTTCAAAGCGAATCTCGTTGTCAGCTGGCATTCCTGAAAGTATTTCGCCAAGAAATCTCATTGCTTTTCTGACACTTACGGAGCTTTTACAGACGCATTGACACCCTGTGAGCTTTTTTCACATTTTTTTCCCACTTTGCACTTCACAGCGTTTTATGATATATGTGTGACAGACCAACGCTGCAGAAACACAAAATCTCACCAAGTCATTCCAGCATAGTTTCTAGAGCAAATATCTCAGTACACTTGAAATAAGACAGAAATAACTTGGAAAGAAACTTTTCAGCAACTTATCTCTTAGACTTCTTTGTATTCCTCTGGAGATTGTTGTGCAAAGAAGGATTTGCCATAAAATCAGTAACATTATGGTCAACACTGAGCATCTGCCATACAAGAACAGAGGGTCTTCAGTCAGATGCTTCTTCAAACCCACTGTAACAAAGACTGCTACAGGTGATCCATCATGTCCACAGCCATCAGCACCGACAACTGATGGAAAATTGGTTAATGTGAGTTAAATCAACAGAACATTTTCTTTTGTAATAAAGTCTTTTTTTAATTGAATTGAAAGTCTTAGCTTAACTTAGCTAATCTTACATTACCTGACATTAGCTTAGATTAGCCTAGCTTACTTTACCTCAGTTATGATAATCGTTAGGCATCAGGTGTTAAGTCCTTACAGCTTTAACTCTGTATGTTAAAGCTGGTTCTTTGTAATCTGGTCCACGCTTGGACCGTTCAAGTTGTAGCAAACGAGCCTGTCTCCTAGCAACCAGGAACAAGACATCATCTGAGAGCCGCCGTCGAAAGGATGTTTGTTTGGAAGCTGATCTGTCCTTATGACCATTACAGTGATTAACAAGGCTGGGAGAGGAGAAGTCGTGTATTGGATGATCAGGGGCCAATTCATTACTTTTATGGCTTTCAAAATGAAACAACACAGAGCAACACAGATGATGTCACAGAATATTCTGTTTTGAAGTTGAACAAATTCCCATGCAGCGATTAGAAATTAGTTTTAAAATATTCACAAAGCAACACACTTGGAACTGGGTAGGAACTAAGAAAATAGTCATTTTTGAAATCCCTGCTTTTGACTTGTCTGTCATTCTGAAAGATGGCTCCTGCTGCTCCAGCTCTTTGTTTCTCTCTCTCTCTATGGAAGAAACACATCCATCCATACATCTGTGCAGCAGGCCACAGAGGGAGAGCGCTAGGCTACATGCAAATAATCAATTTGCTTTAGAAGTCTGCTCCGCATGTGTCAGGGATGTATCGGGTTGATATGAGGATATATGTGTGGGCATGAAAGTTTGCTCTGTGTTGGCGGGGGAGGGAGAGACAGAGCAGGAGGAAACGACAATAGCTAAGTGATGGGAAACATTTAAAAATCAATCAATCAATCGAGTTACTTTAGGGTGCTTTGGTCTCATAAAGTTTCAATTTGAAATCAGGCCTAAATCATGATTAAATGCGTTTGGAGAACAGAATCAACATGTTAGCATTAGCCTAAGCTAGCTACAAACTGCGTCAGATGAAAACATAATCAGCACTATGTTTATTTTCTTAAGTTCTTTAAAAAAATCACAAAACGTACATTTCTGTTTCTTTACTCTAATGTAGAACCCATGTGATATATCTTTTTTTTGCAGAAAAAATAAATGACAGGGAGAAAAAGATTCAATGCACTTTACAAACAATAAGTAACAATAAAATTTTACATAATCTTGTGAAGACATTTTTTATTTTGTTAAAAATAAAATAACGTCAACCGTGATATTTTTACTTTGAATGGTACTGAGATGAGACGAGTTAGATGTGTTTGAAAAACAAGAGTGTCTTCGGTCAGAGGCTTCTTCAAATTCGCTGTAGCACAGGCCGCTACAGGAGATCATTCCTGCCAACATCCGTCACTGTGTACAAGGACTCTGAAGAATTTGAATTCATCTGAGTTACAACAACATTTAATTTTCCTCTGGGATCAATAAGGTACATTTAAATTTGAATTGAAGCGATTTATTGTGAGGAATTAAAGTATTAAAACACATTTTGTGAGAATAAACCAGTGGTCGCTGAGCTAAAAAACAATTTCATTCCGTTTGCGAAAATACAAACAAAAAGTAATTTGTTGGTACGTGCATGCTGGTTTGTTCAAGCTGCTGTTCGTCTTGTGAATGAAACCAAATGACACAACGGCTGGACGTAGTCTCATTAGGACAGACTCGCTGTCCTCTGACTGCATCTCCTCTCCGTCAGGTCAAAGGTCTCATATTAACAGGTGGGCAGATAATGCGAACCAGGAGGGAGGTCATCCCAGGCTCATTCACACCGCCGCGGAGGAGAAACGACCGTGGAGCGCGGGATTGAGATTACTGGGATTGAAGCTGGCACTTCACAGTCCTCCAAAGCTCCGGGGACGGGGCCAGACTCCAGGTGTCCTCTGCGGGTGGAGGTGTGGAAGCTCCACTTCCTCTCGGCCCGGCAGCAGGAGACCAATTAGGAAAGAAAATGAAAGACTTTTTTTTTAAAAACCTTTCTTTCATCTCCTTATCTTTCCTTCCTATCTGTTTTCCTCAAGGTTGAATAATGAAAAACCAAGACAGACTTCTGCTTTCATGTGACGTGTGGATGATTCTCCACACGCAGCAGATAAGAGTTGGATACTGCATTCTTGTATGACAGAAAAAGGGAAGCATAAAGTTGCAACAATACATTAAATAATTGGCTTTCATACATAAAAAAAGTCTTCACATAGAAAAGCTTGTCCTAATTTGACAACAAACCGCTGAAAAGATTCTAGATTTGAGATTAAGTACTATCTTTTTTGGTTGAGATTATTTTTTATAAGATTAAGTTAATAATTACTATATAAAGATTACTTAATAATTAGTAGATAATCTTTTACATTCGGAAAGTGATATCTAAAGAACAATACTGATTAATGAACTAATTTACTACTATTATACAAAATGCCTTGGAAACATACTCACACCTTTTAAACTTTTCCCACAATTATCCCATTACAGGCATAAACTTTAATGTGTTTTACTGGGATTCTGAGTAACACATCAACACAAGGTAAAGGAAAGTAGTAAATGTTTATTAAATTAAATAAAATTTGACTAAATGTAATATTTGTTGCTGGTTTGATAACTGGCACAGGACGTTTTTATGATGTAAAACTTTGAACTGGAACTGAAATGCTCTGTACAAATAAACTTGACTTAAAATTTGTAAAAATTTGAAAAGTGTTGTAGTCAATCATTTCTATCAATGAATTAAACTCAGAAATAAATTCTCAACGCAGTAATTCAGTTGTTTTAAGTGCGTTTTTGCAGTGCGTCCTGTAATTGGTTTCCAATCAGAAAGTGAAGTTGTGTGTGTGATTGCCAAACAAAAACCGGCAGGAACCAGTCTGTTAGTTTGAACTTAAAGTTTTTTTTTAATATCTGTGAAAGTTGCAAACATTGTGTTGATCTCACCATAAGGTGAAAAAATAAACAGAAATTCACCTGGTTAGCACTGTGAATTAGAAAGATTAAAAGGCACTTTTTTTTTTTTACCAAATGTTCTCCACATGGGCTGTATTCAGTTTCTACGGCGACTTGAAATTAAAAATAAAAATCTGATTCAATCACCCGAATCCACCATCTTTGTGGTGTTTATGAGCCTCGGTTAGCGCGGCATCGCTCTGCTTTGTGTGACTTTTCTTTTTCTGTGGAGGAAGCGAACGCTACTGTTGACCAGATGTGGCGTCGCTCCAACACGCTCTGGAGACGGCCAACCTCCCACGTCCCCTCATCCTCATCTGGGTTTCCCGTATGATATACAACCCTGGAGCCGAGATGGTGATCACAGGGGCATCGTTTTCATTAGCCCAGCTCTTTCCCTTTCATTCACCTGTGGGATCTTTTGGAAGCGATTACCCCTGCAGTTCGCTTCATGCGCTTACAGACGGCTTGCCTCGTTCCTGACCCTTGATTGTTTTTTTGCTAGCCTGCTTTTCTGCTAAAAGATGGATGGAAATGTTTGAAACGTCCCACCCGATCTTTTCTCTACAGTGCCATTCGTAACAGAGATCAAAAACGCACGACCTGACCCGCGGTGGAAAACTGATGGGCAATAATCTAAAGACATGAACAGATTGGGAAGATGTCATGAGAAGCAGAGCTCATCTAGAAGCATCTCCTGCTTGTTTATTAGAAATAACTCTGGTGTGAAGCTGTAGTAATATTATAGATGCCACAGTCGGCTTCCAAACTGACTTAGATAACTACACCGACATTTCTCCCAATATTTATTTGTATTTCCACCTCCTCAAGCTTTGGCTTTGACCCCAAAATGCATGGTTGGTTGTAACCTAGCAGTTAGCTGGTAAAAACCAGCTCTTTGCTGTACGCTTCACTTCGTCCAGAAAGTCTAGACCAAGATGGCTGTTAATGTTAGCTAATGTTAATAATGTTTATAAGTGTGACCAGCACAGACTGAACGTCTCCGTTCACTTCGTCCGCTGCCATTGCTAAAACTAGCGAGCTAGCTGAAATACGATGCTAAAACAGTGCAGAAAGTCGATGTCATCATTCATAACTTACAAGATTTTATTGTAAAGGTTTTATTTGGATATTCTTAAAAGTTTTTATTTATTACTAAACACTTTCAGGTTATCATTAGTGATCCCCAAGTAGAAATTAAAATAAAATCTGAGGATGATTTAGCTTTTGGCCGTGCTAACAGTAACAATAATAAGAATCTCGGAGCCATCCCTCTGTGTTTGCTGTTGACAGGTTCACAGAGGAACGTGTGTTTGCCGTTTTCTGATAAATGAAGTCACAGTACGGCAGCTGACATCTCAGCCGAGGAGGAAACGTTCATCTCAGGTGGACCCAGAATCCGGCTGACGTTTAAACCCAGATCCTGACAACTCGTGTTTCTTCCTCTCCAGCTTTCGGCTTGGAAAAACGCAAAAATAAATTATACTCCCGACTGTGTGTGTGTGTTTGCATTTTACTGCAATATGTCTTTCACTCCTCATCTTCTTGTCATCCAAGGCAACAGGGGCTTGCAAAAAAGTACAAAAACATTTAAATATTACAGACAAGTGGTTGCCCATTTTTTTTCCTGCTCCCCTCTTTTAATTAAAAAGAAATTTTGAACACTTACCGCATATAACTAATACTGCGACTCCTTGGAAGGAATTAATCATTGCTTTTCATGACAGCTCAGTGGTATGATTTAGGAAAATAGATGATGTGACTGTAACATTTTGGTGTGTGTGTGTGTGTGTGTTAGATCTGGAAACACACTTCTGATTTATGTGAGTGGGTGGGAGAGCTGCCATTTCAGACAATAAGCAGAGGCTTGTCAGTCTGCCCCCGGATCGCTGCGGGTGTGAATCCCTCAACGCTGGAGGCAGCTGAATAAACTCAGACGGAGAACGCTGCGGCCGGAGGCAGGCAGCGGAAGAAGAACGCGTTAGCAGGATGCAGGCCCGCTATTTACATTCGGGATCATCACTTCTGCTTTTAATGCTTCATTTACTGTAATTTACATTTCACATCTGACTGTTTTTATGCATCCCTGCGGACATGTTTGATGCTGGGGCTTACTGTGAAAGTGGCTGAAATGCTGACTGAATTAAAGAAAGCGTGCGTTTAAACGAGACTGAGTCTTAAAGGTTTCTTAAATTAAAATATGTATGTATATGTTGTTTTGTTTTTTTTATTATGTGTTTAGCAGGCACATAATGTCATTTTATAGCATAATCAAGTAACTATATTACCTTCACTTGTTATAAAAATGTATCAAATATATTTTAAACTTAAAAAAATTTACTTTGTAATTTTAACGCCTTGAGATTGGACGTCTGTCTCTTTAAGAAGCTGCTGCTCTCTCTGAAACTCCGCCTTCAGAAAGTCACAACATGGACCTGCAGCCCCTCAACGGCGGGGCTGCAGGTCCACCCCGGCGTTTTGCACAGCTAAATGGTTTCCATGGAGAATGAAGGATTTCTCAAACATACGTATGTTTCTGATGAGCAAATAACATTACAACATGATGTAAGGCGCTAAAAAGTTTTACATAATGCTGCCCCTGAATGAAGTTAAAAGAAAACACATTAACTACATCTCCTTATAAATGAGTCTTCATTCTTGTATTGTCCCACTCAACAAAATGAGAATGCAATTAAGACTGATGTGGCTCATTCAACTCTTAAAAATAATAAAAAGGTATTTCTGTTTTTGATCGCCACAGAAATCCTTCTCTCATAAATTAAAGACGTCCTTTTGAGTGGTATCTTTAATGCTGTTTTGACAGATGACATAGTGAAGTTTTACACTCACAACTGTAATGTAGACTGATTATGTGGAGAGAAGTGAGGCTTACACCGTTTGACTCCAGGAATTCAAATATTGTGGTAAGTTTTGTTAGAAAAAAAAAAAAAGTAAAATAAAAAAGTAAATACCAATGTGGTGATCAGGATTGGGCCAGAAATTACAACCCGAATGCTGCCAGAATATTTGTATTCATAGCAATAAATGATTTGCCAGTGTGGTGAATCACATGCAGGAGCTTTTAAAGCCTTCCAGTCAGTGCGGGTTTGTTAGACCTCCAAAGCCATTCAGACAAGAAGTCTCTGCACTTCCTCATCCTCACTGTATAAACCGCCGTAAATAAATCTTCACTTTTTGAACTCAAACTTGAGTCGGAAGCTTCACTATCATTACTGTAAGTATAGGTTAAGAATATTTGGTATTAAACATGGAGAGAAAGTATTAGCATGAAGTCAGCTCTGAGTTAGGGTTTGTAGTTGAAAAGTGACAAATGACAGAATCGGCTCCAGGAATAAATTTTAACTTACAGCTGAAAAGCATCTGAAGGTAAAAATATCCCCTCCATAAGATTTTTTTTTTTTTTTTTTTTTTGGCCTAGAAAAAGATTTTTTAGAAAAATTTTTGTTTTTGGCAGGGATTATGCAAAATATGAGTTTAAGTCGAAGTTTTCAGATTAAAAAGGAGTTTTAATGTGAAGTTCACCTAGCTGAATGCCGTCATTTAAAGCTGCACTACATGACTTTTATAAGACTTTTTTTTTACCTATATGTTGGAACTGTCATGATATCCTACAAATAATCTGTGAAAAATTTTTTTTTAGCTCCTCTGCCTTCTCCCAGTGTTAACTAAACAACCAATAGGAGCCAGGAGGAGGCGGGCCTTAGCACAGCTAGCATAGCTGTGCTCAAGATAGTTAGCATGGCTGATAAACTGGATTTCCTGAAATTTTAAGTCAGTTCTCCACTATTAGCACCATAGACATGAATACGATTAGCACATTTAGCAGTAAGTACACAAGGTTGATTGACCCGCCTCCTGGCTCTGATTGGTTATTTTTGGCACATTTGTTCACACACCAATAGCAGCACAGGGAGGAGGTGGAGCAGATCGATCTTTTCACAGATTATCTGCCTCATAACATATCGTCACGATACGGTGACAGTTTTAACTAATATGCAAAAAACATTTTTTTAAAAAATGTAAGTTATATACCGCAGCTTTTTGTACAATTGTCACTGACAAATTAAATGTAAATAATCCGGTTTATTCATGTAATCAACGTGTATTTTATACCCTTTACTTACTTCGCTGGTTTAAACCTCTGAAATTTGATCGCTTTGTTTGTGAAGTCTGTTCACCAAAACGCCTCACCTTCCATAAAAACAACAGCATGGGAACTCCGCTGGACCCCCGATAAAATGCCACGCACACACACACACACACACACACACACACACACACACACACACACACACTCCAGCAGACTGACAGATCCATCATGACTCATAATTCCTCTTGAATCTCGGCAGCGTTCCTGTTTGCCAGCGAGCGGTTCAGACAGCAGGAGGCTCCAGCTGCATGTAAAACAATCCATCACACGCGCTCGAGGTCCGACGTGCTGACAGCAGTGATGAGGCCTGGTAACAGATATTACACATCTATTACACATGTGAACACACCCATACATATGCATTAAAGCGTATATGCATGCATATGTGCCGTGGACGTCTCTCTTCTCTACAGACGCGCACACGGTGATTTTTTTTTTTTTTTTTTTTTGGTTTTTTGGGAGAAAAAAAAATTGCGCCCGGCTTGCGGTTTTTTTTTTTTTTTTTTTTTTTTTTGTCCATATCAAAATTGGTTTATTTCCCAGAACTGCAATAAAGATACTTTTTTCCCATCAAAGGTGTCACAACAGCCGGATGTTGCCGGAACATTTAGCTTACAGGACAAGATGAGATTTTGAAAGTTTGCTTTCTTAAATAATGTAAACCTTTTGTTTTGTGGGTGAGATCTGTTTGTTTAAAACAGACGGGAGAAAGCAGTTTCTCCCATCATAAGCTTCATGAGACCATATTTTTTCATTTTATGTGTACTTTTTAAAACAGTGTAAGACATAAAAGGGAAAAGCTAAATTGGAAACATTTTAATGAATTCAACAAAACATTTTTGTTTAAAGGATATCTGTAAATCAATGTAGATCCAACACAAATAAAGAACTTTGCACATGTGCCTTATTAATAGAAAAATAATACAGGTTCCTAATGTTTGGGGGATGATCCGGTCAAATTTAGGAAGTATAATGAATTCATAAAACATAAAAAAAAAATGCCACAGTAGAATAAAAGATAAAAAAAGATCTGTGTGTAAACCTGAGTGGTGTTGAATGTCATGGAAATGGTAAAAATCTTCTTTTTTTTAGTTTAATTTAATAACAGTATATCTTAAACAGGCAATTTAAAATCACATAAACATATTTATAGGAGTAATGTTAAGAAACTGGACTTTTGGTCTGTCAGTTTGTGTGAGTAAATGACTAAAACTGCACACAGCGTGTTTCAGATTCAGGTGTGTGAAGGAAATACCACTGACCTCAGTTTCACACCTTGCAGCATTTAAATGAGAGTAAATTAGGTGTTATAACATCGCAGCTTGTCTTGGTGCCAGCTGGAAACACATACACACTTGAGCGGCAACCAGTTCACACGTATTTACGCGCACATGTTGGATAACTTAATATCTGAGCGTGTTGGGACACAGTTTATTTAGTGCGCTAACTCTCAATCAGTCATCGCGTTCAAGTGGACGCAGGTCGCTTTTGGAAACGCACACAGGAAACATAAAAAGGTTAAATCAGTAGATCTGGAGTTCCTTTCTGGCCGTTAATCATGAAAATTATAGATTTTTCTTCTCTGGTTTTGCTGCAGGGTAAGGATTTGCATGTGCAGCACCTTTCACACAGGTTTCCCTACACACTGACCCACTTTTTCCACTTCCGATACCGATACTGATACCGATATCTGAGGTTCTGATCCATCAGGTGTTTTGGTTCTTCTGCTTACTTGTCTTAAGTAAAGGGTGAAATTTAGCCATTGTGTTGTGTTGATTAATGTGCACTGTGCTAGTCAAATAAATTAGATGAACCTATAAATTAAACGAAACTCCCTCCTTCATTTGGTTTGGACACAGATAAAGAAATTTAAAAAAAAAATAGTTAAAGGTTCAGCTAATTATTGTGGGGAAAACATATACGAAGAGTGTTCCAGGAATTGTTGATGAAACACGATCAGAGTTTTTGTAAAGAATAAAAATAACTGTAAAAGAAAGCAGTTTTATAAGCTTCGTGACATCTCTGTCAGCCGTTAGCTAGAAGTTTATCCACCACAGCTTTGGCTCGTTACTTCACTTTTTAATCCAAGATGTCGACTGTTTCACAACGCTGGGTTGAACGGGTCTCCAGCAGAGATACAGAGTATTTTTACTGAGCGAGGAAGATCATTCTAGAGAATACAGGAAACAAATATGGCGATATTTCACCTTTAATTGATGCCAGGAGAGCACGGCCTCATGTCTCTGGGTAATTTTTCTTCTTCTTCTTCTCTGCGTGACGCAATGAAAGTGGCTGTCCCATGAAAAAAAACAATGTAAAAAAAACGACACGTATTACTCATTATGATTAAATGACGGAAAAGAAGACCGAAACTGCATTTGGCTGTGGGATCGAGGTCGTCTCAAGA